GGTGGATACTCCCCAGTTCAGCCCTTAAAATTGGGGGTTGTGTTATTAACACAGTTAGAGCAGGGCAGGGCAAGTCTGAGCAGCCAGGGGTAAGGAATTGAAGAGTGAGGGGAATAGGTTAAGTGAAGGGCCGATTACAAAATCAAATCACTCCTGGTCCCAGCTTGGTTTGATGCTATCTCATGGTTATTCTCAGCTCAAATACAAGTAATAATGAAGAATTCTAGATTCCATGGCTAGTATGTCCTTTCATAATTTCGACACCCACTGAGACTGGTAGTCACTTTGTTTTCCTGCCTCTCAAGACTCCTCCTTCCCCAAACATAAAAAATTTCAGTCCACACCAGTTAAAAAAGTAAAAAGGGACAGCACAAAGGCTGGGAGCCGCTCACCCAACCATTGAGATTGTGATTATTGTTGGGAGTGACCAAAGAGTTACTGACAAGAACTGAATTAGGGCCGGTGGTAATGAATTGAACCTTGCATCCAAGCTTGATAAGGTGGTAATAAACTGACCTTGCATCCAGGATGGGACTAGCTGAAGGTGATAACGAACTGAGCTTCACATCAGGACACCCCTTTGAAATCTGAGCTTAGGACCTATATAGGAGACCCTTCCCCCTTATCAAGTTGGCAGTAGCTGTGGACCCCACCTAGGGGCTCCGTCTCAGCTATTGTCCAGGAGCAATAAACTCTGCTTGCTCAGCCTTTCTGCCTCCCGTCTATTTCTTGCCGGTCACAGAAGTTGGGAAAAAACAATTATTATCACAGGAGGGTATTTTAAGTATTTCTATTTAACTTATCTAAAGTGGTCCTCCTAATTTTCTTAACATATTCCTCCTTATGAGCCTGGACCAGAAGGAAAAAAATGCTACACCAATTTGAAATATGAGCAAGTCCACATGTTTATCTTTCCTGAGTTTCTTGTAGCTTTATTTCTAATAATTCCCTGGGGAACAGATCATTCACAAACTAGTTGAACTGATAAAATGGAGTTGAGCTCAAACTGAGTATAATTTGCCACATACAAAGCCTTCAGAGCCGACTATCACAGATTCATGAGGCTTTATATAATTCTACTTGTGTGAAGAAAAGACCAGAATACATCTCATCTTTAAAGACAACCAGAGAATCAGATTTTGCTCCCAAGCAACCCAGCTCTCCAGGGTCCACTAAATCTTCATCCTAATTGTGGCACCCACCTCACTTTGTTTAGACAGTAGTGGAGAGACACTAATGTTTCCACTCATATAATTTTTGTTTAATAGCAGCAATATCTGGTTCAACTGAAGCACCAGGCAATAAAACCATCAACAACAATGATAATATCTGCAGATGTTCTAGGTCTGGAAATCATTGCAGGAAGTCTGGTAATTTCTAGAAAGCATGTACTTTCTTTTGAGACAACCTCAAGGTACAAGATCTTAATTGACATAAACAGATCATTTAAAAAATAGACTTGACTGAGCAATGGCTATTGACCTGTCTCAATGTTGCATGAATATCAATATTATTCATCAATAAGGGCATAGGAGTGTGAGTACCTTTGAATCAAGTCTTCAGGATCCCTATTAAAGCTCTAAGCTACAGACAACTAATCCACCATAGATCATACTAGTTATTATTTTGGTTCTTGAAGACTCATCCTACCTAAGTTTCTTAATGTTTCCACATCTGGCAGGAATAGCACCTGAAAGCAATATTTGCTAGGACAATGCTCAGGATATTTGGGAGTAAGAGTGGGGCACAGACACGGAAGTGGAGAGGGATTCTGAGGAGGAAAGATGAAATCAAAAAGGAAGGAGGTAGACAGTTGCCAAGTTCTACTTTCCTCCCAATTTATCCTAGAACTGCTTGCTGGAAATTCTATCAGTCTCCTAATGCGTTATATTGCTTTTTGACTTCCATGCAAAAATCTCTCCTCATCATCTGTACTTATGTTACAACATGAGGTCTATTAGGCATAGACTAAAGGAATAAGTTATTCATATATATCTTAATCTTTATATAAAATAAAATTGCCGATTTTAAATATCTACAGGTTCCTTTATATTGCTTAATGTTCCATTGCTTTCTTTAAATTACTTGTTGCTATTAAATTAGGTGTTACGCTTTCTGTGGTGTCTAGTCAATAAACAACCTGTATTTATTGAACTCAGAATATTTTTTTAAATTTTTATTGTGAAATATGCATGCAAAAAAGTACATACAACATGAGTGCACACTTCATACATATTTAGACTGATGATAATACTGATATCCCTGAAGCCCATGTTCCTCACTAATTACTTATTTCTTTCAGAAGTAACTGTTCTCGCTCATAATTTCCTTCTCACTTTTTTTTTCTTTTTTTACTCCCGATATGTTCCCCATAGGCAACTTTATTTAGTTTTGCATCTTATGATCTATAAATAGAATCATACAATATATTCTTTTATTCTGGCATCTTCAGCTCAAAATTATGCAAAATTCATTCATGTTTTCACATATAGTTGCAGCTTCTTCATTTTCCCTGCTGTATAGTATTCTGGTCCATATAGAATATCTTTATTCTTCCATTGATAAACATGGGGCTGCACATGTCTGTGCATGCATTTGTGAGTGACTCTATTGAATACATCAGTGATAGGCAATGCTACAATATTATGCAGATCTCAACTTGACTGGAGATCTTGTTCCACATTCTCAACAAAAATAGGTATTATCAGATTCTTTGTTGTTGTTGCCAATCTGGTATTTAATATATAGTGATACCATCTGGGATCTTCCACTTCTCATTATGGTTTCAATTTGCAAAATTCTCATTGTCATTGAGATTAAGAATTCTGACCCTACAATTTAAATATAAATTCTAGTAGTCTGACATTTGTGTTATTCATACTGAGCACTTCATGTCACAAATGATGAGTACAGAGAAGTATAAGAAAGTTATCAGTGAAAATTAATTTGGACCTGGGCACTTAATGTATGTTGTCCTGTTGAATCTTTATGGTAATTTTACTAGTTGATGTTATTAACCCTATTTTATCTTCATAAGTATTAGAACTGGGATTCAAACCATACCTGTTCACCTCCAAAGCCTAAAAACTCTTTCCAATAATCACACTTCCTCCCAAGTAATAACCTCTAGAGAAGAAAAATAATGATCAGTATTCTTTGGTAAAATCACTGTTTTAAAAACTAAACCAATAAAGATAGAAAACAGACAGGCAGGTTACCAGAGGGGTGGAGGGTAGAGAGTAAAATGGATAAAGGGTGTCCAGGAGTACAAACCTGTAGTTAGAAAATAAAGATATCAAGGAGATTGCATGTACAACGAGGGGACAATATTCAATAATATGATATTGTAAATCTAAGTTTCTAAGAAAATACAGAAATAGACATACTGCAATGATTTCACAATATAAACAAATGTTAAACCATAATGCTGTACACGTGAAACTAATATAACATGTCAATTTTACTTCAATAAAGAAAAATCTACACTAAAAGAATTTTTAAAAGGAGGCCTGGTTTATTATGACTAGGTAAATAACTGCATTCCTAGGTCAGTTTTCCCCTTAATGCTCCAAAATTCAATCTATTAGCATTTAAACAAATGAAAGATTCTTTGATATTTGGTGGCATCTCTCTCATGAGAGTAATTCATGACTCTTCAGGCAAAGGCTTCATTTACTGCCTGTGAAAGGCACTTGTGAAATGATTAACATGATCTAGTAGTTTTAGAATATTAAACAAGTCAGAAACAAAAGTAACAAAAGACAAAAGTGAGACAAACTATTCTATAAGAACTACATTTTATGTAGGTAATCAGTTTATGTAGAACACTCAACAAATTTGAGCAACTGATACTTTTTTAAAAATTAATTTAAAACCAATTAAAGGATAAACATCAAGCAAAACTCTTAAGAATGTATATGTTATTAATGATGCCTTTTTTTTTAAACCATAAAAGTCTAATAAAAAACTTGAAAATCCTGAAGATCCAGAAACAATTTTCAAAGAATCAAATTAACCAGAAACAATGATTCAGGTATCATATTATCCACAAAAGAGGATGGACCAAGTCAGCCTTCAACATCCCTCCAGGATGCTAAGAATAACTCTTAGGACATAGGAGAATTCTGTGCATAACTCTCCTCTCTAGTATCTTTACAAAATGACCTTGCAACCTTGCAATGGGATCCAGTCCAAAACTCTCCCCAGTGACACGTGGCCCTGTATATTTGTCACCAACAACTTCAAATAAGTTTGGACTGTGCTTCTATGAATATTAAACTCACATTCATCCAACTCCATCGAAATGAGCAGTGAAAACAATTTTATTAACCACTTCTATACATTTCACACATCATTATTTTTTACTTCACTTCATGATACAAATCCTAGCAGAGCATGCATCTCCTAGCTGTCAATATACCTCCCTTGTATCCTATACCACCAATTGGCTACAAAGACTTAGAGGTTTAGTGATTAATAGGATTTAAATTATTTTAACCCCTTAAAATTTGGAAACTCTTTAAATCCCATTATCTCTACAGTCACTGAGAATTTCAAAATTAGCTTGGCCTTTCCTAGAACCAGGTCTAAGGATTATAGTATTTTAAAGAGTATAAATGCTTCTCTGCAGTTCTACAAAGGGCTGTCCCCAACCAGCTGACCTCCAGGAAATAAAGACAGCTAGTTCTCCGGCTGGTAACTGCTGATCAGACTTTCTAAATGGCAAGATATGTATGTTATGATATAAACCACCAGGAAAACAGGTCATTGCTTCCTCAACTCCACATGAAGCCAGTGAATCAGATGTGATATAGGAGGGGCATCAGGCTTTAGACCTATGTCAGTCAATGTCCAGGAATAAGAAAGCAAAACATTCCAGGGACCCAAAGAAGCTCACTGGGGCAGAGAGAGCAAGTTCAGTGCTTGGAAGCCAACTTGCTCCTAAGAAAAGCTGTTCCCATGGTTTTAATGGAATCCTAGGTAACTCTCTGAGGGCTTACCTCTTGTGTCCTCACATTTATGTATCCATAGTGAGTTCGAAGGGGCCGCCTGTGTGTGTAGGAGAATGGTATCCATTTTGTACCAGGTTGTCCAAAGCAGTTTAGTAGCAATGGGAAATTCACTTCATTTACAAGACGCACAACCAGCAGGAAGAGGAACGCCACTATGAAGCTCACCGCAATCACAGACTTTCTCTATAAATCAGTAAAAAAAAAAAAAAAAGAGTGAATGAAAGACTTTCAACCAAAAGAAAGCAGTCACAGAGGGAGGATTCCTTTTTTTTAAAGGGGATCAAAGGACTCTGTCATTTAGTCTATTTCACTTGGAGATGGAAAAAAAATAATCATTCGGCCTTGGTCGGTGGGCTTCTGCAAGCAGGCAGAGTGGTCTCTTGGATTGTCTTTCCACTATACCCTCTCGTTTTCTACCTATCTTTCTTTAAAAATCCGAAGCAGTCTCAAAATCCAAGCCAGAAACTCCATACCAAGGGAAGTCCTTCCTAACTGTCCAATCCTCTACTAGAGGATCTTCAGTTTTCCTTTATTCATTACATCATGATTTATGTGACTTTCCCTCTGTGTTAGTGCGAGTTCTTGGAGAACTAGGATGTACTAAGTCATGCTGATCTCTATCACAGGTCCTTAACACAGTACCTCACACATGGTGAGCACCCAACAAAACAAGTGAATGAATGAATGAATGAGTGAATGGTTTCTTAGTCTTGTAGATCTTCATTAGCAGTCATTCTTCAATTATTTTATCTAGCACTCTCTGCAGACCCCAGACTTTGCCTATGGTATAAGAGATGTAAAACTAAGATTTAAAAACCTAAAAGTAAGAGTAGGGGAAAATCGATGCCAACCAGCATGGGAACATTCTGGTTTCCATGCTGCAATGTGTTTCCAAGGAGCAAGAGCAGGAGCAACTACATCTGACTAAGGTGGAAGAAAGCAAAAACAGGGTTGTGCTAGAGTTTGACAAATGCATAGGTTTTAATAGGTAGAGATCTGTGAGTACTTTCTAGGTAGAATACAGCAAATAGGTAAGAAAAGATGAGGCAACTCATAGCCAATGAGAACTTGATCCACAAGGCACAGAAAAGGAGAATAGCTGGGAACACAAAGGTTAAATACACGTTGGCATGTATGAGACACCAAATTGAGCAATTTACTGTTTGACAGATAACAGAAAACCAAGGGAGGTTTCTATTTATTTGTTTAAAGGTGACTAATTTAGAAGGTTGTAACCTTCTAAAGTTTAGTATTTAGATGCTTTAGTGAAGGTAGGCAACTCCAGGTAGAAGACTGTTCCAATTGACTAGAACAGAGGTAATGAGCAATGGCAACAAAGAGTGGCAGGGGGAAGGAAAAGGTGGAAAAAAAATAAAACATCCAATTTAGATAGGAGGATGGTGGAAGGCAGCTACTGATTGAATAAAATGACATCTTGAAAACTCAGATACCCAAAAAATTTGGGTCTAGGTTGCAAAAATACTAGTCATGTCAGGAGAAGCCAGAGCAACTGTTGCAGGTATTGATTTCTGAGAATAAAAAGAGAAGGCCAAAGGATAGCTTTCAAGGACTGGTGGGTCAGTCATCTAGATGAGCCAGAGGAGTCAGATAGAAGGTCATGTCTAGAGCCAAAAAAACAAAGAAGAAGAAAAAGAAAAAAGATTAGCACTAAGGGCCAATGATGGATCCAACTCTGATTTGAAGTCCAGGGTGGAGACATATTGCAACATTCCTCAATAAAGCTGGTCTTATGCCCTGATTTTTCTTCAAACTAAAAGGAAGCCAAATAACTTGATGGAAATGGTTGAATATTTGTTGCGTTGTGTTGTCGTGTCAGGTTTTCAGCTTGCCTCTTGGTGAAATTTGCTCTTCATGCAGTATTGCAGAGAAAAGAAATCCAAATCCAGCTTCTATGTATTTTCTGTACCCACAATCAGTCTTTATAATGACAGCACAGCATGCTCCCTCAAAAATCAGTGACACCCTAAGTTATTATGGCTCTTGATCAAATTTTGGACTTTGTCAGAGCCCCTCCCTCCATCTAGCCAGCCTAATTTCCCAATCACCTGGAAGTCCCTTGAGCTTTGCTTCCTCAAAACCCCTTATCTTGCTACTAACTACCACAGTCTTACTTCATTTAACCTTCTAATCATGAAAAACCATTTTAATTTGCTCCTCTGTGAAATCATTACATCCACAACATTGCAATGTGTCAAGGTAACAGCTTAAATGAGTTGATGGATCTTAGAAGTTTAAAGGGACATAGACCAGAACAGATGGCTAAATAAAAGCAAAGAAGCCAGTCACCCATTAAGTAAACAGGTAAGAACATTTTTTTTTTAATCACCATCCAGTAGCTTGTTACAAAACAGCACCTTACTTTGAAGGAGACCCATATCGGATTTTAGCTTCTGTCTATTCCAGAGCCCAGCATGGTTCTCTGGTTCTCTTGGTTCAGCACTGCATTTTATGACAGGGGCTTTGGAGACAAAGGCATGGAAACCCTTTCTGAATTCTAGCAGCAGGTACATAACACACACATGAGAGGAAAATAAATCAACCATTTTGAGAGAAACTTCAAAATTGAATGAAATCACAGTTGTAAAAGCTGCTCCCTAGTAATTCATGTCTGCCACTTGTGTTCTATCAAAGGGAACCAAGTATTGAGCACAGAGAGGACATGGGGAGCAAACGGAAAGCAGGGATCAACATTAACTCTGTGTTCTACCTTGCATCTAATTCTGCTATGGGCAGATAGGTTCTTTCATAGCTTAGTTTTCCAGTCCAATTTCTGTTGTATTGCCGAGACCCCATTCTTTGTTGTCTTTCTTCATGTTTCCATATTTTTGCTTACTTGAAAGCATCTTTGTAGTGCTGATACAAATTCACCCACACTCCCTACACTTTTCACCAGAAAAGGCAGAGCTTCCAATACATTCTGTGCTCCTGGCAGGAAGGACAACAGAACTCAACAAAATGCATTTTCCTAGTAGTCCCTTCTGTCAGACTGTGACCTTGAACTTCAGCAATTGCAATGAAATCTAGAGATGAGGCTACACACACTGGAATGGCAGGAGGTTTGAATGGAGGTGGGAATGAATGTGTGTGTGTGTGTGTGTGTGTGTGTGTGTTTGGGATGTGGGAGTTAGGGAAGTCATGTGTATAATCCACTTCCAGTTGTAAACACAGTTGAGTCTATGCTGTGGATAGACTTGAGGAGGTGTTGAAAACAGAAATAAAGCCATAAAAGACAACCCCATGGTTCCAAAAAGTCATAGCTCACTGCTATGTGGAGGATTATGTGAGAGACAATGCAAGAGATATGTAGTATCCAAAATCAAAGAGTGAGGGAGAATGAGGCAAGTGGAGATGAGAATGGCGTTCTTCACAGAGGGAACAGTGCAGATTAAGACACAGATATTTGAAATTCTTAATTTGGCCTGAAACCTGTAATTCACCAGGTGAGTTGGGTTCATTACCTATATGTAGTGGGAGATGATAGCAGGAAAATAGAGTTCAACATGAAACAAAAAATAAGCCAATGTAATGTCACATGCAAATATCTGTCCCATCTACCTCACATTAGGACAATAAAAGGAAAGATACATAAAATGTTTTATAGTTCAAAATTACTTCCAAACCAGGGAAGAGATGTCGGTCACTTCATTTCCTTTGAAATTGCCAGTTAACACTGGCAAAAAGTCAGTTTTCAGTGACTTTTTGAATTTATCTGTTTTGAGTCCATTAACATTCAGCAAATTCGAAGACTTGACCTATTTACATGTGTTCTATATCTAACAATTTCTTTATGGAAGTGATCACTGAGGTTTTTATTAAAGTTATCAGAGCATCCCCTCTATTTGGCAACCCAACAATCACTAAGAGAAAACAGGAAATACTTGTCAAGTTTCTAATGAATGGCCTGATCCACAAATGTCATACCACATAAAACAGAAACTTAGTAAGTCATTTCCCTAAGATCAGGAGCATGAACATGACACAGTACATGGAGAGGGAAAGGGCAGAGCGCAGTTTCCGAGATGGGGTAAGCTATCAAAAAATGGAAGACAGTTATTATTAGTAGTATAACTACAAATTATGAATGCCTGATAGGCCTTTGCCAGTTGATGGGCATTAGCCAGCCTGTGAGTGTACATAATGTGCATAAGAACTTAAAGATATATTTTCCTAAAATATTCCAAGCAGCTGCAGACTCTTGAACTATTCGCTGCAACTTATCCACACAAGCACTGAGAGAATGTCACTGTGCCCAAATAGATCTGATGAATTGCTTTAGGGAAAGCTTTCTCCTTCTTTGTTCTTCATTTTGGGCAAGTCTGAAGAGGCCTTTAACAGCTGAGACATTTAGAATTTAATCCCCTCTGTGCTGCAAAAAAATATGCATCAAAGAATGTGGCATTCCAGTTGCTCGCTCTTTAGAGTTGGAATATCATTTATCAGACTTCATAGCAGAAATACCTATTTTAAAATAAAACCCACAGAGAATTCATGATTTGGGGAGAAAACAAGGGAGATTTTGGACACAGCAAATTTGTGAGCTATAGTAATAGTTGTATGTTTTTACTTTCTCTACCACAGAATTAATTTTAACCTCAGAATAAAAGTTTTTACTTTTTTAGTCAATTGCCAGATTTTTTGTTTTCATATATAATAAGCTATATATATGTTGTTTCTATGCATAAAGGTGTAAAAAGGTTTACATAATGGTATATTTTTCTACTTAAGACTATTTAATAACTGACGTAGCTGCTTGTCAAGCAAATGGAGTTTACAGTTGTCCATATACTGTCATTAATCAATAAATATGAAATACAATCTCACCTGTATTATTTATAAGTGCTCAATTACCTTACATACTGATGAATCCCTAGTCCCAACCCATTGTTTATGTATGACCTTATCAAATAAAAATTCTTCTCTCATATAAAAAAATTATGTCATCGGGCCTTCCCTGGTGGCGCAGCAGGTTAAAGCACAGCAGTAAGAAGCTTAAGCCACTTCCGCATGAGTTCGATTCCCGCCTGGTGAATCCTCTCACCCTCCCTATCTCTGGCCTGTACCCCAGATCTGTATGAATAAATAAATCTTTAAAAAAAATAAAAAATAATTATGTCAATGTAATTCTACCTATGCCAATGGCTAAGCTTTAAATCTGGTTCTCT